CTTCCCTTGCCAAGATATGGGAAGACATTGCAAATGTACTTGGATTTTAGGTCGCAAGCCACCCAAAACTTGATCCCAAACTTGTCAGGTTTACTTGCAATATACTGCAGGGTTAGGGTTATACTGTGGATTTCACAGGTTTGCTGACCAGCAGCCTAGTAGACCCTGCAAGATGACAATTTCATTGACGTCAACAGGAAAGGAAGTTCACAGCTTTTAGCAGCTCCCCACCCCCACACACTAACAAAGAGGCAGTTGGCAGTTAGAAATCGGCAATCATTCAGTAACAACCTAATTTACATATGAATTGATGCTAAAAAACTAGCCAATTTAGCTTCCACTTGGCTGACTTGGGCTTAGAAAAGCCTGGGACTTCCAGTGTTAACCCAAGCTCACTGACACTTTTCACCAGCACAAACCAACAGTTAAAGGTATATATTATTCTTACTTGTGTACTTCATGTATATAATAAAAATATACGGGTGGCTGCTCTCTTGTAACAAAGAGTACTTCATGCATATGTGTAGGACTAAAAAGCAGATCCACAAGTGTTCAGATAAAATTGACTGCTGCCCCCAAGTGGTCAAACAAAAGGATTGCAAATATTGATCAAATGAATGAAGGAATAAATAAGTTTACAGTTAACATTTTAGCATCTAAATAATATGTTTGTCATTTACATCCCTTCCTGCATACACGCTGAGCCAAATAAAGCAAGCATTTTTAATGTTTTAGTCTATTTATATTTTATTTTTGGCACCTTGTTACTTAAAGGAGAAGTCTTTTAAAATATATTAATCAGAGGAGCTGGCATCTAGAAGGTACTAAGAAATTATAAATGCCACCAAACAAACAAACAAACAAATAAATAAATAAACAATTTACATTGACATTTAAGAGGCTAATAAACAGGTCTTTATTTTATAATTAAAAAAACCCCAAACTCTCTAGTCTGATCCATCATCACAGTAACACTTCAGGCATATTGATCAGTCCAGTCAGGAAGCAAAAGCCATTGTGACTCGGTGGGACCTGCTCTGTGCAGCTCACCTAGCACTTGTTTTACAGCTGGCAGGTGCACCTCTGGTGCCGCATTATCTTTACTCACTGAGCACATACGACAGATGTGAAAGAGCCTGCAGATGCAGCTGAATTATGCAACATCTTCCTGCATGACCGTTTTTTAGCAGTGCGTCTGAGAAGATCTCCACGTGTTAGCCGGCGGTGCCCTGACTGCTTTTAGGTTCCAGGATGAAATCCTCAGACACGAATTTCAGACCTAACACTTGTGCAGTGGGGCCCCGGGTCCTCCTGGTGGAGATTCTGATCTTTAAGGAAATTCCCCACAATCCCATTCATTGTTTAATCTGTCTGTAGTACAGTTACAGGCATGTATGATGTAAGTCTTACTGGGATTTTTGGATGATTTTAGTTTCCACAGACTGTTTTTAGCCCAAGTTTTAAGGATCCGTCTTTTTTGTTGCCCTCCGTATATTCTTTTAATAGCTGGTCTGCTTCCTGCCTCTTTCAGTTGAATTTCACTTGTACAGAATAGCAGCCAAATACAATCTTACATAATAAAGTCAAAGGTAATAAAGACGTTGTGCTGCTTGTGGAAATGTGCTTCATTCACTGGGCAGATCCATCAGAGAAGAAAAAGCAGGACAAAGGTAACTGGTATTGCTGCTTATTGATGACACTATAACACATAAATGATAACCTAAACATTAAGACCCCCCTTAATGTTTATTATAGACCCCCCCACCCTCCCGTTTGTCTTTTAAACCCCTTCATATCCGTTCTGTAGCAGCTAAATCCCCCTTCACCGCATGCATCGTTTCATTTCACCTGGAAATCCCCGGATCAAGCCCCCTTCCTACCTTCACCTCTGTTACCAAGTGTCCAAAGCTGGTGAGGGGGATCCTCGTTTTAACAGGTGACGTCGGCATGACTGAGGAAAACACAAAGTTATTTTCCCTCTTCACACATTCACTACAGCCTGAGCTTCGTCTAGGTGATACTTACCGCAGGTTCAATGGTGGGAGAGACGCTTACACAACGATCGGGCGTGTGGAAGCTGTTCCGTACAGGTTTAACGGACAGCACCCGCTGACCAACCACGTGGTTTTGCTTAGAGTATTAACCAATAGCCTGTGGCCTGGTGGGAGGAGCTCGCCCACAGTTATGCAAACAAAAAACGGTGGAATTTGCTTTTCCTTGACTGAGCCACTAGAAGGCGGGAGACTACAATTTATGTGGTCCTGCAGACATGCCCAGCCAATGAAGCTATAAAATATTATTTTTATTTATTTATTTAAGTTATTTTTAAATGAACCTTTATGCTGGAAATGCCACCCTATTATTTTCCTGTAAAATCTCTCTATTTACTAATATGTTACAGACCAAACTATAATCTGCAGTTTACCCGAGATCAAATAATCGTATTATGATAAAAAACAGAGAATATCAGGCAAAACAAGTGGGCTTTACTTATTTTGGTATATACAGACACGACAGCGTCAAACTACACTTTTATGATGTGAATCTCCTGTTCCATCACACCCCAAAGGGGCTCTGTTGAACTGAGAAACTCTGGAGCTCATTTGAGTACAGTGAACCCATTGTCACTTTCAAGAAACCAGATTAAGATGATCTGGACCTTGTTACATGGTGCATTATCTTACTTACTTTGATTGGTGCAGTGTGGTCATGGTGTGGACATCGTCAGCAATGCTGCAGTGCTGAAATTATGCTCAGTTGGTGGTAAGAGGCCCAAAGTGTACCAACATCCTTACACCAACACCAGCAGGATGAAGTGTTGATACAAGACCGGATGGATAATGGCTTTCATGCTGTTTATGCCTAAATCTGACCTCACGCTGGCTTTAATCTCAGTTTTCTGCTCTTAGCTGAAAGCTGTAGCATCCAGTATTGTCCTCTGCTGCTGTAGCCCATCAAATCAGTTGAGTTCAACTGGTGTGTGCATTGACGTGCTCTTTTGCATACCTCGATACTCAGTTTGTCTTGACTATCTCTACATCTCTAAATGCACAGAGTTGCTCCCATGTGATTGACTGATTAGATATTTGTATGAATGGGCACTTGAACAGGTGGAAATGGTGAAAGTGTGCAGTGAGATCTGCCTCGCACTCCATAGAGAGTGAACAAACGTCCTGGAACATTTCTAGAGTTGGCAGGAAATGAATCAACCTTTGGAACGAAGCAAGGCTTTAATTTGACACAATTTATTGATTTAGGGATGATCAAAACAAACACAAAAGCAAAATCAGTGAAGATAAACAGCACTACGGAGTTCTTTAAACTAAAAATCATTTAAAAGCAGAGGAACTTCTGCCAAGTTGTTCAGTTTACAATGGTGTGAAAGTACTTTACTACCTGGCTGAGTTTCCCAGACTCTCACACCTACTTTCCAAAGAGTTCAATTATTTGTGCACGGGCATGAAAACAGGCAACGCGCCAGGTCCATCTCAGTTTCTGTTTGTACTTCTGCTACCGTCGACCATGTTCAGTGCTGGACTGATCTGTCACCTCTGTTTTGGCAGAAGTGGTGTTCAAAGGAAAAATGGGAGTGTGAGTGAAATTTGGATCAAGTTCAGAGCTTGAACAAGTTTGCACAGGACAGCAGTTCCAACACTGCCTGTGTATTTCCTAGAAAAAATGAGCCCTTAGATTTTTTTTCAAGCAATTTATTGAACATTTGCACCACAGACTAATGGTGGAAAGCTTAATCCCATAAACACTCATTATAAACACCAGTATCTAAACTACACAGATATTTGCCTCAGAGTGTCTACAAACTCCAGCATCACCTGTTTACCTGTTTTTCCAGATATTCCGACTATTACACAAGCATATTCTTGTTGAATTCACTGTTTATCAGTGGTTAGCGTGATCTTTTGCCTACTTTTATGATTTTTTTCCCATCAGACTTCTCTCTAGAGACATAATGCTCACATATTTTCCATACACAAACATTTAAAAATAAAATTTTTTAAGTGAAATGTAATTAAAATTAGATCTCTAGATTATGTTGACCTTAAAAAAGGCATGGGAAATAAAAAGCATTTTACTGTTTTTCAGTTTTCTTTAACAGCGAGAAGCATCACATGCAGACGGGGAAAATATAGGTGAAAAGCAACCAGTGAGGTTATCTGCCACTGATAAGTGTGACTTGATCTTTTGATCTTATTTTAGTGTGCTAAAAATGTTTTGCACGTGAATTCCTACACAATCATCTTAGTCATGCCAACTGAGACTCTTGTTTTCATTCAATCATTAAAGCCATCATTGCAGTTAAAACTGATTGCTGGAATGGCTGCTCTGAGTTGTGGGAAGGTGACAGACTGACACCTTTTAGCCCATTTTCTCACATGAAACCTGTAACATGACATGTTCAAATATTCATAAAAGGCAGAGGTTTCCGTCATTCACACATAACCTCCTACACATAACGCTGCCATTCCAGAGAGACTGAAGGAACAGCGTTTAATATAAACAGGAATCAAAGGAAACACCCCACCGCCTACACTTTAAATAGACTTGTATACCTTGTTTTATGGATCACATGTGGATTGTGCAAATGTGAGTAGCAAATAACAGAATATTAATTCAGTGTGTTACTTTAATCACTATAAAAACACTTTTCAGCAATACAACATTGCTGATTTTCTCATTGCGGCAATAGCTTTCTGTCTTTTAGATGTACACTCACTGACCACTTTATTGGGTACACATGCTAGCACTGGGTTGGCCCCCTACCTCAGCGGTTGCTGGAAACACTCCTCAGATGCTCAGTTGGCTGACTTTGGAGTACAATGAACTCATTGTCATGTCCAAGAAGATTCCCTTGAATTCCCTTGAGATGATATGAGTTTTGTGACATGGTGTATAAAAAAAGACTATGCTATGATCGTGAAGGCATCAACATGGTCAGTAACAACACTCAGATGGGCTGTGGTGTTAAATAATGCTGGTACTGCTGTACAGTTGGTACTGAGTGTACCAATTAAGTATCCCTTACACCACCTGAAACACTGATGCAAGGCAGGATGCATCCATGCTTTCTTGTTGTTTATGCAATCATCTCAATGTTGCATCAGAAATCAAGACTGATGAGGGCATGCATGTTGTGCATTCAGAGGTGCTCTGTTGCATACCTTGGCTGTAACAGTGGTAGAGTTACTGTTGCCTTCCTCTCACCTTTCAGCAGTCTGGAGCCTCTGACTGCCACAAGGCATTTTCACCCAGAGAGCTGCAGCTCACAGGATATTTTCTCTTTTCCAGACCATTATCTGTAAACCCTAGAGATGGTTATGGGCTGAAAAACTCAGTAGATCAGCACTTTCTGAAATATTCAGACCAGCCTGTCTGGCACCAACAACCATGCCACATTCAAAGTCACTTAAATCCCCTTTGTTCCCCAATCAGATGCTCAGTTTGTACTTCAAGCAGGTCATCTTCTCTTTGTATACATACTTAAAAGCACATTTGCTACCACGTGATTGGCTGACTAGATATTTGTGTTAATGAGCAGATGAACAGATGTACCTAATGAAGTGGCCATTTGTGGTTATATAGACAAACACCCATACACATTTTAGTACATTTTAATGAACCGATCAGATAACCTTTGTCACTCTAACAGCTGCACAGAGTGAAGTATAGAACATTATCTGGTTGTTCGAGCCTGGTTGATCCTGTTTTTGTGTTGAGGACAGTTACTTCTTAGTTTCTTTTTAGTTATTTTTAAATGTTTATGTTGCTGTAGCCACATTTGAAGCAAGATCATCTCTCTCTCTTTGGAAATGTTAGTGTATGGATTCTGGTGCTGTAATAATCCCAGAAGAAAGACTTCTATGATCAGCTGGAAGCAACAAAATAACTTTGGGTCATTTTAACATGCAGTTATCACTACTAATATTATGAGCATTACTGACGAGCGTTATTAATCTGATCTATTAAAGGCTCTGTCTTCAACACAAATGAATAGAAGTAAAATTAGAAGTCAAAGTTTGTTTTTGTTTTTTTACCTCATGTCTAAATTTTATTTTGCCATGTTTATTCTATTTTATTGCTGCTATTGTTCTTGTGTTCTTGTAAGGTGACCTTGAGGGTCTGAAAGATGCCTATAGATAAAATTATTATTATTATTATTATTATTATTATTATTATTATATTATAAGGAAAATATGAATGGTGGAGACTGCTGTGTGCACCTCCAGCAACCAACTATTCCTATGATGTTTTGTCATATTCAGGTCGTTGTGTGTGCAGAAAAAAAAAGCCTGTTTAACATATATAACTGTGTCAGAGATCACAGTGTAACAGTCAGTTTTTGATTAACCCCAGTGAGGCTGTTCTCCCTAACAGTCTTTTAGAGACTCAAGATTTACGAGAGGCAGGTCTGCATGCTGTAATTTCATGTGTTAGTTTTTATTAATCTGATGGAATGCATCCTGACTTGTTGTAAGTGGAAAG